TCACTGTTTACTCTTAGAGGGAAAAATTTCTTACCACTGTCTAATAGGAAACTACCTAGGTACTGAAACTCTCTTTATGAGCGTTAAGATTGCTATCTTGTGTTAAAGATATGCATATAAAAAACTTACAAAGATAGTTCTGCCTGGATTTGAGCCCTATCTGGAGAGGTCCCCACCAGTTTTCACTCCTTCAAGAGGCTGCCACTTAACAAGGGAGCCCCTGGTAAGCTGTACATGTACGCTTGAGTCTTGACCAAAACAGAGCAGAGATGTAAGAGATGAGACTCTTAAGCAAGAAATGCTAAAATGGAATTCACTCAGAAAAGACAGTCTAAAAAGAATCTGGGAAATAAGGAACCCAAAGTAGTAAAGTTTGGTGTGTCCTTTGGGGATAGAACCTAGCTATAAACCAGGAGACTCAGAAAAGGCCAGACTTCAGAGAACACGCTCTGTATTATGGTAGCTTATAAATCAGGTTGCTTTTATATTTCTTATATTATCTATGGCTTTCTCCTTTAATACAAAATAGTTTTCAGGTTGTCCTAATTGTTCTATGTCAACCTTGAAGGCAAGGGTTTTTATCCACTTGATGATTTGAGTATTGTCATCCTATTATTGAGGGCAGTAGGAAGGAGAAAGTGGTAATCCAAAAGAAAGTAAATTCTAGAGGACAATAAGGGCTGTGGAATCCAGCCATTCTTCCCCATCTGAAAATTCTCCTTCAATCTGACAACTTAAAGATAGTGATTTTTTTATTAAATAATATTTTTCTAATATTTTCCCCACTAAACTATAAGCATATTTAAAGGACTTTGTTATTTTATTGTCATATACACACATGAATGAATGGAACACAAAAGAAATTCAAATTTTTGTTTTTGGAATGAAGAGTTTTAAGGAACCTAAAAGCAACCTAATACTTTCTCCACAAATGTACATTTGTTCACATAAGGCTTTCAAAGGTCATCAAAATACTCATTCAACAAATATCAATTAAATGCCTGCAACAGTTAATAGAAAAACAAAAAGAACTAGATCAGTCACTGATCCAACAAATGTTTACAGAGGGACTCCTGTGTGCCAGGTACTATGGTAGGACTTATAGACACTACAAAGAATAAGACACTAAGAGTTCCCTAGAGAGAAGGAAGTGGGAGGGTTAGGGGGAAGGATAGAAGGGAATGGGATTAATATGAGAAAATGGAAAAATAGGAACAAAATCTTTGTAAATAGGGAGGACCGGAGGGGTTGAAGGGAGGGCTGGGCAAGGGTGAAAAATAAGAACCAAGAGAGACTATGTAAAGGTGCAAATTTCCAATGATGAAGGTCATAGTGTATACCTAAAATGTACCAATGATTAGAATGAATAATCGATAATGCAAAATAGGAAGAAAAGGTCCAAAGGGGTAGGGGTAGTGGGAGGGGCAGGGGAAAGGAAAGAAGGGAACGGAAAAATTGATGAAAAATGGAAAAAATGGAAATAAAGTCTTTGTAAATAGGGAATGGTGGAGGGCGTGAAGGGAGGGCTAGGAATGGGGAAAAAATAAGAACCAAGATGCATTATGTAAAGGTACAATTCCCAATGAGAAATGTAATTGTGTTGTATACCTACAATGTACCAATAAAAGAATTTAATTTTTTTTAAAAAAAGAGTTCCCTAGAGAACTCACAGACAATAAACCACACGTGAAATGTCTACAGTACTGTTTAAAACAGAAAACATTAAGTGTTTTCAAAGGTACATATAAAGGTTATTAGGAATCAGAGATCAAAATGAAAAACTAGACTGGCCAAGGATGTAGCTCAGTGGCACAATGCCTGCCTGGCAAGCGAAAGGTGCTGAGTTTGATCCCTGGTACCAACAAAAAGAGAGAGAAACTAGTTTCTTCAGAACTTAAAGCACACTGCCACTCAGGTATAGGACATTATTTGTGACTTGACCTTGCAGTTCAGGAGTAAATTTTGATTAGTTACCAGCTGAAGTAGTTAATGGTAATAGTTTTTCAGGCTTTGATGAAAATCAATATTCTATCTTCACATCTTTAGCATTGTTATCAAGAAATACTGACACTGAATTTTGAAAAGCAAGAATACAGATGAATTCTCTCTCTCTCTTTTTCGGGGATCAAACTCAGGACCTTGCACTTGCAAGGCAGGCACCACTGAGCTAAATACCCAGCCCTGGATGAATTCTCTCTTAATGTGAAAACCATAACCAAAACTGAGCTCTAAACTACAGTTGTTATCATGTTTGGGTAAATGACCCAAAGAAACACAGACTTTGTCAATCTGAGTTAAAATATATGGAAAACATAATCTTGATTTGTCTGGGCTTTATTTAGCAGTACTCTATGACAAAATAATTTCTACTTTGCATTGTGAACTAGGAAAATGAAAATATAGCTAAATATTACGTTTCTTTTGTCCTATAATCGAATGAGATTTATTCTTCAGTTTCTTTTATATATACAACTTTAACTTTTCCAAACACATTGAAACATACTGTCACTAGAGCTGTCTCCTTCAAGATAAAAGCAGTGAGGGCTGGGGATTTAGCTCAGTGGTTTTGTCGCCTGCTGCGCAAGCACAAGGACCCCAGTTCGATCCCCAGTACCAAAAGAAAAAAAAAGATAAAAGCAGTGAAATGGGAAGCAGAAGTTTCAAAACTAACATCAAAGGAGTTTAGGTTTAACTATATTTCTCCTCTTGATTCAGTGAATTTATTAATTTACTAGTTTAGATTTTATTTTTTTTGGTACTGGAGAGCAACTCGGAACCTTACGCTTTGAGGCAGGCATCAGAACCACTGAGCTAAATCCCCAGCCCATTGATTACTTTAATCTCTAGTAGTTACAGTGGGAAAGTGCCATCTATCAATATATTCCTTCAATGTATTTTATAGAATGTAGTCCATAAATAATAATTCTATGACAAAGAATTTCTAGGTCCTCTTAATAGGATTTTGTCTATATGGAAAAATTAAATACTGTCTTAAGATTTCTTTGTGAATTTCAAGACTCCTGACCATATATTCCACTTCAGCCATTACATTTTTTCTGTTCGTTACAGATTTACTGGCATTAGTATATGTTTACAATGTTTTCTACTGGAGCTTCAGAAGAACCTATCATATGAATTAATCTATCTAAAAAAAATTTTGAGGTCACATTATATACAAAATGCTTACATGACTATAAAAGCAGTAACACTTGCTTCTTTACCTCTGCAATTTTAGGAGTCACCGTGGAAGAAAATTCTCTACCTCTGCATGATTTGAACTTATTTATACAGTATTAAGAAAACCTGCCTACTTTTTGAGGTAAATGCCCCTTGTCATACAGTGTGGTACATTTTCAAGAATGTTTACAGATACTATCAAAGGATCAATTCCAGACACATTACAATAAGCAGCATTCCTCTGGAAATTATCTTCATCAGCCGTATTTCTGCATATTAAAGGGTATTAAGTTAAAGTGAAAACACAATGCAAGGGAGAATATCGAAGACAGAAAAACTAGCATCACTTCTGCAAATTAAGCAAACTTAAGCAAAAAGAAAGGAAGCAAACAAAGGGAAGGAACTCAAAAAGCTATTTGCAGCAATGGTACCTTCCAAGTTCTTAGGCGCTTCCTGAGCTCGAAGAGATAAAGAGAAAAGAGAGACAGAACCACACTGAAGCCTGGTTACTCTTTTCACAACTTGGAATATTCTCCGAATTCAAAGCAAGACGTCTGAGATACATGGATTAGGTGGGAATGTCTGGGAGAAGGCAATGGCATCTGCTTTCTCAGTTTGGAGTCCCAAGAACTGTACCACAGAGGGACCCCAAATCCTTAGTTATCCTTTGCAGAGGCGGCTAGGAGCATCTTCCCTACGCACACACCTGCAGGGCCAAGCGCCTCCTCCCTCTCCGTCCCCGGGGATGAATCGAGGTCCAGCGTCCCGCGCACCCTTAGCCCGAGGGACACCCCACCTGCGCCGGCGCCACACGGCGGCGGATGGGGCTGGAGCGCACGCCACGGTTCCGGGTCCGAATCCCGGAGCCCCGTGGCGGCGGCGGCATTCTGCTGGACACCGACACTATCGGAATGAGCACGGTAATAAAACTTGGAGGAGCGCTTCTCCACCCGAAAGGACGTGGAGGCACGAGCGCTCGGGAACCGCCGGCCCGTCCCGCCTCCCTCGCGACTGAGGGGCAGCAGCCTGTACCTGTCCTCTGAGACGCTGATGACTCCCTCCTCCTTGGGCACAATCACGGCCATGTTCACCACCTCTTGGGACCCCTCGACCCGCTGCAGCAGGATCGGCTTGCGGGTCAGCGCCTTGGGCTGGATCTCCGCCGCCATAGGAGGAAGGGGCACGCCGGGGGCGCCGCCACCAACAGCGCCGCGGGGTCGGACTGAGGAGACCGCTCGGGCACGAGCTGAGACAGGGACGCTGGCTGGCCGGAGCGGGACGCCGGGGACCGGCGATCATAGCCTAGCTACCTCTCAGGGGAACGACTCCGCGCTCCCCACTTCGAGTACCCAAACCGCCACCACCCGAGCTGCAGCCCGGAGCCACCGCCGGAGAAGGGGGCGGGGAGCAGGGGGCGGGGTAGGGGCGGGGCCTGCCACGGGGTGGCCGCTGGTGGGCGCGAGGGCGGCTCCACTTCCGGGAGAGTGATGAGGGAGGAGGGAAAACCTGAAGCAAGAGGCGGGGAGCTGGTGGCCCTTACGCGTGCGTCTGTCCAACAGCCCACTTCCGTTCCACCCCTCCGCTACTGCCTGAGCCCTGCAGCACAACTAATACGCATGCGCTGTTTTATTTTCCACACCCAATATTTAGTCCCCTCCTTCTTAAAAATCACTCAGGAATGTGCTTGAGGCTCCGCCCTCCCCAAAATCTCTGAAAAAAGGGGCGGAGGTAGGGTGGCTAATACGCAGTGGAAAAACGAGAGGCCTGCGGGAAGGAAAGGAGTTGAGCTAGTTAGGATGTGACTGGGCTTGTGCACCGAGTACCTTGGCAGTCTTAACAATGAAGCGTAACTGGGAGGCCGCTTGGTTCTCCCAGTAGGCACAAGGCTCAAGCCACCGAGTGGCACTCTACGGGCTCCTGGGAGTTGTAGTTTGTTGGCGCTTCCTCTTTGCTCCGGAATGACCTATTGATCATTTCTCTGTGCTCCAGGCCTGGGGCGTACAAGGGCTCTGTAGCCATTGCCAAATCGGGTCCCAGACTGGCCTCCAACGCGAGGATCTGAAAGGCTTTTGGTTGAGCAGGACATCGCTGCCCCGTGTCAGGCTACTGCCTGGTGTATTGTGACGCAGAGAATCTCATACAAGCATCTGTGAGGGAGCTTTAGAGATCATCTGTAGTGTCAGTCTCCTTTTTATTAGATGACTAAATGGCTAGCCCAGGGCCCAAGTTAGTGTTCAAAGCCCCATCCCAAGACTTGAACCCACGCCTCGCCTCCTCCTGGTTTTGACCTGCTTTCTCCTGGGACAAGGGATGTGTACAGTATGAGGATGGCTATAATAAAAATTTTAAAGGTAGATAATGTTGGCAAGGATGTGGAGAAATTGGAACTCATTCCTGCATTGCAGTTGGGAATATAAAATGAGGCAGCCTCTTTGGAAAACAATCTGGAATTTCTTCAACAGGTAAAACAATGTTACCATGTAACCTAGCAATTCCATTTTTAGATATATACCCAAGAAAAATGAAAACTTAGATTCATACAAAAACTGAACATGAATGTGCACAGAAGCATTATTAATAATACCCAAATATTCCTCAATTGATAAGATGTAGTATATTCATAGAACAAGATATTGTTTAGCAATAAAAAGAAATGAAATATTAATACATGCTATACATGGATGAATCTTGAAAACAATGTACTGAGTGAAATAACCCAGTGTTAAAGACCACAGATTGTAAGATTCCATTTATAGGAAATACTCAGAATCCATAGAGACAAATGTGAGGGTTAGGAACCCTGGCTAAGGGGTACCAGGTTTTTTTCTTTCAAGGATGATGAAAGTGTTCTAAACGTGTTTGTTGTGATGATTACACAACTCTGTGAATACTCTAAAAGCCATTAATTGCAAACTTTTAAATGGTGAAAGCTATGCTATATGAATTACAGTATTTATTATCCAAAATTATTGTTGATGATTGGCTGACAAATTATATTAGGTCTTTATCAATTTTATTAAAAGTAAAATATTGCAAATCACTTGACTTTTGCACAGTCTTTGAAGTAAGTTATTTTCTCAATTTCTTAGAAGTGTAAAAAATGTCACTTTTTTTTTTTAATGGTCACTGTTTCATTTAGGGGCACTTTGCTTAATCTTATATACGAAAGAAAGAGTAGGGAAAATTTAAGATGTTCTAAATTCAAATATATGGATATATTTGCCAATATAATTTTTTATAAATTACTTTATCACATCACATACTTATATATATATTTTCTCCCAATATTAGACCTATAGATTTTCATGGAAAAAGTCCATGATAACCTAATTATCAATCCTATTGTCAAACCAATCAAGCAAATCATACTTTCTGTCAGAACAATTATTATTTTGTTTTTCCATTTAAATAAATTTAAATATACAGTTTGAGAAATTTTGTAAAAACATAATGGAATCCATCTTTTAAAATGATTATTAAATGTCAAGATTTCAATGATGTAGATCTAATACAATTAATCAATTTAATAATGTATTAAGATAAATAGCAATCTAATATGTTTTTCCTATTACATAATGTAATGTGTAGTTTGAGTAATAAATTTTTGTGAAACAAGAAAATAATAAGAGGTATGATATTCTTTCACTAATTGTATGTGTTGAACTCTGGTGATGAACTTTTGAGAATAAATAGGAATCAGATATAAAGTCATAAATGATTCCATTAGTTTGGTAAAAAAAATTATAATTTCATATATATTTAAGGAAACAGAAAGACACATACTCCTTTAAAAATGACTAGACTGGTGAACTGGGGTATAGGTGAATGGTTAAGCATATGCCTAGTAGGTAAGGCCTTTGGTTCAATCCTCAGCACCACACAAAAATATTTATTGGTCTGAGATTAGTATAATTATATAGTTTTTATTAAGAAGTAGAATCATTTCATAAAATAAGATGATCATTATCAAATAAATATGTCATATGATTTGATACTCAATAAATAAGTTCTAACCACCTTATTGCATAATAGTAACTGAATTTGAGGGAATAAAAAAAAAAGTTTAACAATGAGTGTTTTCCCAGTGTATTTTGAAAACTTGGTAGCACTGGAAATTTCTATCACAGAAAAAAAATCAAAGTAACTAATTTTGTCTAATTGGGTTTCTCTGAAGACTTTTTCTTTCTAGTTAATGACTTGTATAAGAGATGACTATTGAAGATAACTGGAAAGAAGTTGCTCAGATTAAAGTATATGAGAAAAAGTGTTTTGTTTTGTTTACTTGTTTGATTGGTTGGTTGTTTTGGGTTTGGGGGTTTGTTTTTGGCAGGACTGGGGATTGAACCCAAGGCCTTCACACTGAGCTACATTCCCAGCCCTTTTTTTAAAGTTAAGACAGGTTCTTGCTAAGTGGCTAAACTGCCCAGGCCAGGCTCAAACTTGCAACCTCCTACCTCAGCCTCTTAGAGTGCTGGAATAGCAGATGTGTTCCACTGCATTTGGCACTTCATTGTAAGTCAGTTAGCTTCAACCTCACAGCACTGCCATTACTCCCACCACTCTCCATATGTTTTAATTCAAGCCCTCCTAAGGTAAGCCAATATACTTTTTTTCTTCTCCCTTAACAGAAATGTTGTAAGACAAAAAATACTAGGAACCTGTAGGTTAACTTACCTTGTTAATCATCAAAATTTCCTCAATATTAGTGTTTTCTTTCTGTTATTGTTGTTGTTGTTGCCCAGGAGGCTTTTTCCTCTTACCCAGGACAAAGCATCACAGTAAATTTTAGGCTAGGTAGTGGATCTGAAGCCGGAGAATGTCTGATGCAAACACCTGCATATCCTGACACAAATTAGTTTGAGCAAAAAGTATTTGTAAAAGTTGAAGGTAGGAAAATAGATACACTTAAAATGATAGTTTTCTGTGTACCAATTGAGAAGTTTTCACAGACCAGAGTTACATAGGCCACAGCTTGGACACCTCTAATTGAGGAAACAAAATGGGGGAGGAGCTGCTGCTCTCATGGTAGATGAAAGTTTTAGGTAGAAAAAAGATTAAGGAGGGCACGCAGGTAATGGGGAAAAAAATAAGAACCAAGATACATCATGTACAGGTACAAGCACCCAATGATAAATGTAAATGTATTGTATACCTAAAATGTACCAATAAAAGAACTAAAAAAAAAAAAAAGATTAAGGAGATTATTCTTAATAATTAGACTAAAGTGACTTCTTTAGATCAACTCCCCATCCTCTAAAGGCTAATTAGAGATGAGTATGAGACTGGGAAAAGAAGGCCAGGGCAGACTGCAAAGCCCTTTTAGGGTAGTAAACACCATGTGTTTTTCTGACACATCCTCAGCAATGTAGACTGGTAATAGAAGGCTGGGTGGGGATTTAGGGATCCTGGCCTCATCAGATGAAACCCACATAGACTGAGAGGAATCTAGGGACCAACAATTCTCTGATACGCAGACAGGTAGTCAGTCAGTCAGCAACAGGACTGACTGGCAGCTATGCACAAACCTCCAGGCTGAGGTTCGAGAGCAAGTTTTAGATCCATGATGACAGTTTAGGAAAGCAATGCCGGGTCCTGCAGGTGGAGGAGCTGGTGGGCTAAGCTGGAGGCTTAGGCAAGATCTTAGGTGTCAGGACTAGGGAGCAAGGTAGGAGAAAAGCTCTTAATTTGCTGTCCTGAAACATCATTTAATCTTTTGGAGCCCCCTTCTTCATTCATAACATGTGAATAATTATGGCACCAATCTTACAGAGTCATTATAAAGTATAAATAAGTTCATTCAGGGCCAGGGATTTAGCTCAGTGGTTTTGCCACCTGCTGCGCAAGCGCAAGAACCCGAGTTCGATCCCCGGTACCAAACAAAACAAAACAAATAAGTTCATTCATTTGAAGGATTAAGTATCTGACAAAATACTTATTCTAAAGAAAAAGGGGAGAGATGAGAAGGCATTAGAAGAGGACCATAGAGGAGACAGAAAAAGGAGGGGGAGTAGAAATAACAAATCTTTCTCAAAACAAAGGCAGAGGAATCTAATGATCAGAACTGGGTCACAAGTCCAAGCCAAATCATCTTGCAATGGAAGCCTCCACTCTTTAAGGACAAACATCTAAGAACAGAGAGTTAAAGGTAACCTCCACCTTCATTTGTAAGCTAGTTGTATAGAATTCACTGTTTTGAACTTGAGTGAGTTTTCTTGGTAGGCATGCTCACAAAATCCCTACAGGAAAAAACTAATGGTCCCATGGCATATAACTACTCTGATGAATAATATTTCCCCAGAAGAATATCTTTTAGTTACAGCCGGAGCACTAGAAAACATCCTTCTATTTTGACTTCCTCTTTCTTTCCCATTCCCTTCCTGGCAGCAACCATGTGGGCTCTCTCAGCAAGAAGGTTTTGTGGTTCTGAAGCCTAGCTTCACATGGGAATGCCTGGGAACTTTTTTTTTTTTTTTTTTTTTACCTTGCGCTTGCGAGGCAGGCTTCGGAACCACTGAGCTAAATCCCTGGCCCACCTGGGAACTTTTGAAAATGCGGATTTCTGAATCCTTTGCCTGAACCACTAAATTTGGTTTTCTGGGAGCTTGGCTTAAGAATCTGAACTTGTTTTCCCCATTTTATTAGTGCATATTAGTTATACAGAATAATGAGTTTCATTTTGGCATATTGGTACATGCATATTACATACTTTGATTACCCCCATTACCCTTCTTCTCTGTCCATCCCCTCTCCCCCTGAAAAATATGAACTTTTTATAAAGTATTTCCAAGAGATTTTATTGCAGGTGACTTTTCATACAATATATACTCTAGCCCTAAAAATCTAATGAAGGATGCAGTGAGAATGAGCAGCAAAATAGAGGGTAAGGCCTCCACGCTCAGGGAATTTCTCTAATTTTATTTTCCTTCCCACTTTGAAGCACAGGCCAGGGTGCCCACTGTTCCACTGTGTTAGTGAATGTTTTTAACCAGATCAGGGTCTCTTTTCTGTGGCCCACTGAGTAACAGAGCATGGCTTATTACTTTTCCTCCACTTACCTTTGCTGGAAGCCCTCATGGTGTTTTTTAGGTTTTCCCACTAAACCTTCTCTCCATTTCCTCAGCTCTAGCCCAGGCAAGTATGTGGCAACAATATGTCTCCATACATGCAAAGAGCTGAAATAAGCCCCATCTATCTATATTTTAACGGACTTTATTTTTCTAGAGCAGGTCCACAGCAAAGTAGAGCACAATTCAGAGAATTCCTATGTATTTCCTGACCCTGCACATAAACAACCTCCCCTCTACTCATATTTCCCACCAAAATGGTACATTTGTTAAAACCAA